TTCCCAGGCAAGAATACTCGAGTGGGTTACCATATCCTTCTCCAGGGGATCTTCCTGACCCAGGGATCAAACCCAGGTCTCCTGCATTGGCACGGATTCCTGACTTGTATAGTAGTTCTCCCAAGGAATAGTAATAGCCAGGAGGCTAGCCAGTATGGTGAAAATAAAATAGTACATCTTGCAAATGATTTACTTTTGTTATTATAAAGTAGTGCCAGCTCAAGATTTTACTTACAGTTACTTTGTTGCGACCGTGTCTTAATAGCTCTCCTGAATGCCTAGCGGTGAACTTCCCACCTGTCTTCGGAACCCGAAGCCCTTGGGTGTGCTTCGGAAGGCACTGCCTATGCACTTGCATGTGTTCTTTACGGGTTATGTGATGGAGGTCAGGCTGAGGGTGATTTTCCTGGTCCTTCATCCTGCAAGTGTGGTCCTGGGAGGCCGGGCAGTATTGGTATCTCCATGGGATCTTGTTGGAAATGTAGAATCTTGGGCTCTTCTCTGGCCTACTGAAACAGAGTCTGCATTTTAGCAGGATCTCCAGGTGGATCCAAACATACATCACACGTGAAAGTTTAAAAAGCACTTGTCTAGAAGGCCTTTGATGTTTTCTACATTTTGTCTTTTGTCAGTTTTTTCAATGCAGTTTTTTTTTTTCTTTTACATAGTAGTTCCTCCCTTTCCCTGCCTCAAAACAATTCAAATAGTCTTTGAAGCATAAATCATTTAGACTTTAAATGGGAAAGTAAGGGAGAAAGTGGTTGCATTTGGAAGTCAGTGTTGGATAACAGTAATTTTTGAAAATCTGAAATTTATCCATTTTAGAAGTCTAAACACAGTCCTGGTCCCAGAGATCATAACTCAAACAGATTACTTCATCTCTTTACCTGTATTCTAAAGAAAGAGATGTGTGTTTAAATGCATGTGTACATAGCTTCCTTAATGAAAGCTTTGCTGCAAAAGCACTTTGTTCCTAATGCATCCTTAAGTGAAGTTTTGCATTCTTAATTTTCCACTCAAGTAATTTAGAAACCATTAGTTAAAGTGGAACTCTAAGATAAAGTAGGATCCTTACAAGTTTAGATGGTTTCCTCTGAAGATTGCTCTTACAATTGTCAGAGAAAGATAAATTCTTAATTGCATTTCATTACATCTGGGTAGCAGATACATGTTTACTTTCCAGATACCTGTCTGGCAAAAGTGGAGGAGGATAGGTGATGAAGTGATACAGTAACATCAAGCTAACAGATTGCAAAGTTCTCCACCTGTCCAGCTGGCTGCTATGAATCCCCTTTTGTCAGGACAAAAGCATTTCCCCCGTCTATCTACACCTCCTTTCTCCAGCAGTCGAGTCAAAATCGGTGTTTCTCCTTTGTTCCTATTTCTCCTATAGTTTACTACACGCTAGACAAGAGAACAGTTGTTGCTCTTGAAGGTTAGAGATTTCTGTTGTCACCTTCTGAAATTGGCAATCATGGACGATGTCGGCAGTACAGACAGAAGCAGGTTCCCTTTCTTCGTTTCTCTCCTCAAAAGTGTGGTTCTGCCTCTGGCTCTTTTTAAATCTCATTACAAAATCTTCTTCTCTTGTGCCTGAATGGTTTGATTTTTCTTTCAAGTTAGAGGTCTTCTAGAGAAAGTCTTTGAAGTACAATCAGACCCAAATTTCAAAAGTAAAGAGATATATTTTACTGATCTTAAAAAAGGAATTGTGTTCACAAATACTAATATTTGCCTAGGGCCCTTTCCAGAATGAAAGATCTGCCCACATAGATCAGTCGACATGGATGTTGTGCAGCTGTAATTTAATACTAAGAGAACACTTCCTAACATATAGATCCTATGTAAGCTTCTCATATTAGCATCTGACTTCTTTCTTGTCTTTTTCAAGGTCATAAAAAGTGTTAGAAATTTGAGTTAGAAATTTTTCCATAGTTTTTAGTTTTAGGTTTTTGAAGAAAGGCTAGCCTGTATGATTTTTCTGATTATATATAATCTATCTTAATACTAGACAGTTATAGCAAATAAAATTCAGAGACTTTCAAAAATACAAATGAGGGGGAGGTTTGTACTATGAGCAATATTTTTCTGATGAATCTGTGATCTCTTGGGAAAGGAAATTGAGGTAAGAAGAATCTACAGAAAGTCTCCAGGCTGAAGTATTGTTAATTTTGGAGGGATCTGGGACAGACTGAGCTCCTGACCAGAGTTACGAATGTATTACTGTTTCTTTTCCCTAGGCAAAAGGACTACACTTTCTTTGGATTGCCAAGGAGTCTATATTAAAAAAAAAAAAAAGCCACAAGATTTACCCCTTGAATCATTCACAACTCATAAATCTCCGCTCTCCCTTTTCTTTAAATTATTTTACCTGGTTTCCATGCTGGTTTTCATTTCCTGATTTCATTGTCTGCTCGATCCTTAGCAATACCTGCTTGATGTAGAGGTATATAGATCTGTGCTTCCAAGAGAAGAGAGTTCTCCTTCATGGGTTTTGTGAATCACTGGTTACTGTGAACTTTGTATGTTCTTTGTCAGTGCATATATGTAACTATAGATCTCTTCACACCTGCACATCTATGAATGGGCTTTCATGGCAGCGCTAGTGATAAAGAATCTGCCTGCCAGTGCAAGAGGTGCAAGAGACATGGGTTTGACCCCTGAGTTGGGAAGGTCCCCTGGAGTAGGAAATGGCAACCCACTCCAGCATTCTTGCCTAGAAAATCTCATGGACAGAGGAGCCTGGTGGTCTGCAACCCATGGAGGCACAAAGAGTTGGGCACGACTGAGCACACTTACTACTACTGTGTGTACATGCATTAAATACTACACGTGTGCATGTCTATAATATACACATGCACACATGTACGTGTGTATGCTAAGTCACTTCAGTTGTGTGCAACTCTTTGGACTGTAGCCCGCCAGGCTCCACTGTCTGTGGGATTCTCCAGGCAAGAACACTGAGTGGGTGGCCATGCCCTCCTCCAGGGGATCTTCCCGACCCAGGGGTTGAACCAGAGTCTCTTAGGCCTCCTGCATCAGCAGGCAGGTTCTTGACCACTAGTGCCACCTGGGAAGCCCCCAAACACGTAGATACATGTATGTACATAGACACATATGTTCACATTGATGCCTTTGTATATTTAAGCATGTGTGTGTACATTTTTATGTGTGTTTATATATAAATGCATGCATACACGTATATATATGTGTGCACACATATATATATATGTAAATATGCATGTAGTATGTGTTTATATATCTATATACCTATGTTTGTATGTATCTGTATGCTGCTGCTGCTGAGTCGCATCAGTCGTGTCCAACTCTTTGCGACCCCATAGACGTCAGCCCCCCAGGCTCCCCTGTCCCTGGGATTCTCCAGGCAAGAACACTGAGTGGGTTGCCATTTCCTTCTCCAGTGTATCTGTATAGGTGAATATAAATATTCAGGTATATATATGAGCATATATATATAGTATGTGTATCCATGCATGTGCATATGTGTACATGTGCACATGTACACATATCTGTATATACATGTGTGTGTGTGTGTATGTGTGTGTGTGTTTACGCATGCAGTATGGGGCTTACCAGATGGACCCAGTGGTAAAGAATCCACCTGCCAATGTAGGAGACGTGGGGGACACAGCTTCAGTCCCTGGTTCAGGAAGCTCCCCTGGAGAAGAAAATGGCAACCCACCTGTGGGGAGAGAGCAAATTAGCCCAGGTGGGGTGTTCAGGCTCCCCCACTCCGAGTTTTGTAAATAAGGACTGTGTAACAGCTGAGATCACTTACAGCAGTGAGCATGTGCTCCCGAGGTCCCTGCTGGGCCAGGGACTCCTTAGTGCGGTAGCCCTCCGCAAGCTCCAGCTGAAAGGCGTTGGCCTTCCCGCTGCGCCCTGGCGGGGTCCTGGGGTCGGCCGGAACGGGGCAGATGCGGCGCAGCTGCCGCCCCGGCTGGGAGGGGAGACGAGGGCGCGGCTCCAGCGGCCCCTCCAGCCCCGAGCCCCATGCCCGCCCCGGGTTCAGGGACAGCGCGGTCAGTGCGGTGCAGCGATACAGTTGACGTCGAGAACAGGATCAGCACTACGCCACTCCACTATGCTTGCCTGCAGAATCCCAGGGACGGAGGAGCCTGGCGGGCTGCCGACCATGGTCGCAGAGCCAGACACGACTGAGTGCGTGCACACACATGCACGCACACACACGCAGCATATGTGTCCGTATTTCTGTGTTCATGGATGTGTACGTGCTTACCCTTCTGTTGATACTTCGGCAGAACCCCGTGGTTGTGCACGGAGCATCAGAATGTGCTCCAGGAGCTGCGGCAGGGGAGCTGCGGCATGCAGTGAGCGAGCCCCCGAGTCAGGCGAGAGCCAGATGGGGGAAGTTTGGGTCAGTTCCGCCCAGCAGGTGGTGGCTTCCCTAAGATCAGAATTTCCTGGAGAACCCAGTTCAGTGGGTTGAGGTGAAGTGATGTTTTCCTCGGTGCTGTAAATCATAAATATCCGGCTGTTCTCATGGTGTTAAACGGCAGCCGGAGACCAGGGTCCAGTCACCAGTGTCTGTCTTGCTCCGGCGGAGACCCGCTGCGAGTAGGGAGGGATGGGGATGGGATCAGCGATGGTTTCAGTTACCTGATCAATTTTTCTTGCTGGAGCATGATGTTCTGTTTTCCTTGCCCAGACAGTCTCATTACTCAGAAACTCTGAGGAAACATGCTTTTCAGCAGCTGTGAAATGTGCTGCTCCTTCTATGGAGAGCAGACAGGCGCGGCTGTCAGAGTCCTCCTTCCCTACCAGCTGGCTCCTAGATGCTGGTGAGAGATAGGTCACTTGTTGACACTGCTTTTCGTAACTCTTACTTCTTTTTGAATTTGAAAATAAATGTTTTCTTTTTAGCATCATACATGGGAAGATCCCCTGGAGGAGGCATGGCAACCCACTCAAGTATTCTTGCCTGGAGAATCTCATGGACAGAGGAGCCTGGCGGGCCACAGTCCACGGGGCCACAAAGAATTGGACACGACTGAGTGACTGAGCACACGAGAATAGTACTTGCCTCTCAGAGACATTGTGGAGATCAAATGAGGCGACCCCGTATCAAATATTCAACTTAGGTTCCTGTTGCTGTTATTGCTACTTGCACTACCTACTACTGTTATGGTAGAACATGAGTTAGCAACAGCCCCCAAAATAGATTGAAACTGTTATCCACAAATAATTAAGGATTTTTAGCTCCTGAAGGTTATTTTATGTATTCATTCCAGACTCACAGCTATTCAGTGACAACTGTGCTTTGCTTATAAACATTTGGCCACCAGATGTTGCCTGTCTTATGTGTGTGAGTATTCTTCCTTTTTTCAGACAGAGATGGATTTTTGGGTGTTACTTGTACTCTTAAGTTGAAAAATAAAAGCCTATGTCAGAATAAGTAATTCAGGCTATTTACATCTCATTACTATAACCTTGGGTGCATACTCAATTGACAGAATGTATCAGGAGTCGATATTCTAATCAATCAAGCTATTGGCACCTCTAAAAAAAAAATTAATGTTGATGTAATTAGATTTAAAGGTACTGCAAAATGTTTTCTCCAGCCACAAAATAATAGAATCACCTCACAGTACTGGAGACAGATTGCTAACATCCTTATTGCAACCTGATCATTTCACATCACAGTATAGGCAGGGTGGTTCCTCTGACTTTCAGGAGGTTTTGTAGATGATGAATTTGATTTCTGGCAGTAATTAATCTTTATAGAATTATATAGGGTGCCTAAGAAATGGATTTTTTTCAAAGATGCCAGATCTGAAATGATGAGAAATGTCCAAACAAGTGTACTTTTAAGCAAAACTGAGTTGGATGTATAAATTGTATGCTGAAGTACATGGGATCAGATATGAATTCAGGACTAGAGGAAAAACAATGCATTTGTTTAATTTCTTCTAGTGCCTCTTTGAGTTCTTGTTAAGAGATGTCTGATAACTGCTCAAAACCATTTTATCCAACTCTTCAGGGCAGCTGATCTATGATGAGACAGAAAGAGGACCCTCCTTTTAATTTCTCCTGACTTAATCGATTAAGTATGTTAATTACTCTACTTAAATTTTTCTCATGGTGTTGTTTGTTTGTTAAGGTGGATCGTTCTGGCAATTGATGAAAAATAGCTTCCTGCTAAGCCAGCATAATGAATATTGACGTTCTTGGCGTTCACAGCCAATAGAAATCACATTTTCAAGTCTCCATTTCCAAGGTGCTTACTTAATAAATAACTTCTCTGACCGTCTGCACTACGGGGGCACACTCTCTCAAAGACTGGCATGAGTAAAGCTTGAAAGTTGTCTGTGGATTAACGTCAGCATCTGTAAAGAGCAAACACTGAGGTTAGAGTTTGAATCTCCAAGACAGAATGGTAAGGGGAAGTGGGGCCTGGGAGTCTGGAGATGCAAGCAGGACAAATCAGGCATCATTAGCTCGAGATCTCTGCCCCTGCTGTGTCTCTGCATTAGAGGAACATTACTGCATTAAATGTGGCCTGCAATCCTGATCAAGATGCTAATTGAAAGAGGAACTTTGCCAGCACCTTTCCACTTTCCTCTATACCCTGCTAAACCTTTATCTTAGTTTAACAGAGAAAACAAACAAAAAACCCCCTAAGGCCTGAAAAAGATGATAGCAGGAAGAGGAAGCTATTTTTTTCTGTGTCTCTTATATAAACGTTGTCTTTTGGTAATACACATCTTTAAAAAATGAGAAGGAAAGAAAGCCCTTTAAAACACTTAAGAAATAAAATGACACTTTCCCAAGGAATATTATAAGTTTCAGTCTCCAGACTTTGAAGCTCTCTTATGGGGCATTTTTCTACAAAGATCTTCAAATAACACCCCTCTAAAAAGCTGTCTCTCTTTGACAGTTCTAGTTTACCAATCCACGATTACTTGTCATATCTTGTTTTCAGTGTTCACGTGTAAAATGATAACCCCTTTTTTCCCTTCTTACAGCTCTCCTCTGAAAAGAAGTCTTTATGATGAGGTTCTGTCCCCACTTCAAGTCTTCTAGGATTTCACAGAACTGGAGAACCTTTGTGGATCTTGGGTATCACCTTTGCCAAGCCTCATATACCCCAGGTAAGGAAACTGAAGTATGTTTCAAGTCAGTTCCCTCCACTTACTTGTACCTTCTGAGTGATCATGCCAAGTTTAGAACTCAGGTTAACTGCCCTGCTCTTGGCTACCACAGAGCTGATAGTCTCTTTTCCTAATTTCAGAAGATGAAGACAGCAATCCTTTGACAGCTTGCTGTAGTTCTGGTTCACAAATGTTTACTTTTCCTCAATTCTTTTGAAAATCCACTACGACCAGGGGGAAAGAGTTTCACTTTATAAAGTACTGCAGCATCTTAGGTCCTTTGCGTTTGCTTTTTACATATTGCTGTCTTCCTGTGTCCGCGATGAAGTGCACCTTTGCCCAAGAGGAAACGTAGCCATTGGATCCGCTTCCCCTTCTGCGTGGGAAGAAGGTTTGGTCGTGAAATACTGTTCGGAGTCAGCCTCAGCCTTGCGGTGGGAGAGCTGCCTCCTGGTGACCTCAGCTACCCTTAGGGAGTTAAAAGATGGTGAGCTTATCACAGACTCTCTAAACCAGGCTCCTCAACTTGCAGGAGCTAATGCCTGATGATCTTAGGTGGAGCTGATGTAACAATAATACCGGAAATGAAATGTATAGTAAATGTAATGTACGTGACAGTGAAGTCGCTCAGTCATGTCAGACTCTTTGCAACCCCATGAAAGGTAGCCCGCCAGGCTCCTCCCATGGGCTCTGCCAGGCAAGAATATTGGAGTGGGTATCATTTCCTTCTCCAGAGGATCTTCCCCATGCAGGGATTGAAACCAGGTCTCCAGCACTGCAGGCAGACTCTTCACCATCTGAGCCCCCAGGGAATCCTGAAACCACTCCCCGCATCTAACCCACCCTCTGGTTGTGAAAAAATTGTCTTCCACAAAACCGGTCCCTGGTGCCAAAAAGGTTGGGGACCATTGCGCTAAACTGGTTGAGGTCATCTGAATAGACTCGCCTGAGTTACTGATGGTGAGATTACTGCCGTATCAACACAGGGTTTTAGAATTTCAGTGGCGTTTATTCTGTCAACTGTTTGTTTTGGTGGACAGAGAATCAGTGGTTGTATTTGCAGTGCTTTTCATTGGTTGCAGTTGATAGAAGTTTAGACCTAATCTGAATGTATATCTTAATCAAGCTGGCTAAACCTCAAAAAAAGGGAGTCTGAGAGCTGTTTTGGCTCCTGTAAGTTTAGGTGATAGATTCAGGGGCTTGGACGATGCCGTCAGTCTCCCCTCTCTCTGTCTTCTCCCCTCGCCTTGGTTTTCCTTCTCTTGCTCTCCATACTGCCAGCCATCTTACGTCCCTCTTTACTCACTCTGGTTGTTGTTCGGTCACTAAGTCATGTCTGATGCTTTGCAACCCCGTGGACTGCAGCATGCCCGCTTCCCTGCCCTTCACTGTCTCATGTCCATTGAGTCGGTGGTGCCATCCAACCACCTCATCCTCTGTCATCCCCTTATTCTCCTGCCCTCAGTCTCTCGCAGCATCAAGGTCTTTTCCAGTGAGTCAGCTGTTTGCATCAGGTGGCCAAAGTATTGGAGCTTCAGCACCAGTCCTTCCAAAGAATACTCACAGTTGGTTTGCCTTAGGATGGACTGGCTTGACCTTGCAGTCCAAGGGGCTCTCTAGAGTCTCCTCCGGCACCATAGTTCAGAAGCACCAGTTCTTCGGTGCCCAGCTTTCTTCATGGCTCAGCTCTCACATCGGCGCGTGACTACTGCTGGCCTTGGAAAGCTGAAAATCTTGGCTCATGCTGGCCCTGTGTGCTCTTAAGTATGAGCATGCCGTTTGGTGCGTTCAGGTCCCCTCCCTGCTTCCTTGAAGCTGCTGAGAGAGTTAGGTGGCAGTCCCACCGAAAGCTCAAGGACAGAAGAGTGGCCAGGGAGAGGAACTGTTACTGAACTAGGGGCTGGATGCTTGCAAGAAACTAATAATAATAGTTAAAAATAATAACATCAGTATCTAACAGTTACTGATTTCTCACTTCAATATGCCAGGAACTTTTCTGAGTGTTTAATAGCTAATAACTTATTTGATTCTCAAAACAGTGTGAGGTACATATATACATATGACTTCCATTTATATCAATAGATGAAGAAGATTAATCACAAGAGAGATTAGTTGTCTGTCATTATGATTTAGAAGCCAAGTGCATTTTTTTCCCCCCAAATATATCTTAATGCCCAGTACCCTTTCAACTAACATTCATTAAATCAATATTTGCTCACAACTAATTGGGAACATTGGGAAGTGAGAAAATACAAAGCTTATCTTTATGGCATATGCAGTCTAAGGGTGGAGTCAAAGACATCTTCTATCTAAACACATATCCTGTATCTAAATAATGACCATGTAATTTATAGAAAGAAGTGCTACAAAGCAATCATGCAAGGTGAAGGACTGTGATACAGAGATAGCTAATGTATTCTCTTTTGGTTGTTCAAAAGAGCTGTATTAAAATTTCTTTATCACAAGGAAAATTAGTTCAAATGACAGTGATTGTTCAGTGAGGAAGGCTCAGTTGTCCCAAACCTTAGAAGTCTTTTCTCCCAGGTGAATTGGATCTTGCCAAGGCTGGAGAAAGGAGGTGGATAGAGAGGTGGGAATTCTTAAAGAATGTGTGTGGAATAAATGAATAACAAATAATTCAAATGTTGATGGAAAAAAACCATTTGGATTAGTTCTCATTTTGATTTTTCCTTTCTGATTTAAAACAAACTGCACTTAAAACACCAACCTAGAAAACAGCAAAAGTTGCTTATCATAAACTATAAATAATGTTTCTTTGTTTCAGATTGGTGCAGGTATATAAGAATATTTTCTTTAATTTTAAACTAGAATATTCATAGCATCAAATTTGAGATTTAACTCCTGCTTCTTTTAGGGTTTCATTTGAAACCTTGATATTAGCCTTTTCCCAATTAAAACATTTGAAGCCTTTGGCTCATTAATGAGGTCCATAAACCATAGATGCTTCTTCCTCCGCAACACCCGGCCCCACCCTGCCCCATTTGGCAACTTAAATTTCCCACTAGTCAAAAAAAAGTTAATTTGTATTAACAACCAGTTTCTCAAAAGGCTGATTATTCAAAAATGGGCTTGGACTCTAACCAGAAAACTTAGAGTTCTACTTAGAGATCAACGAAGTGTTAGAAAGCAAGAATACCAACTGAATCTGAAAATCAAAATATAAAGCATATTGAAAAATCTTCTGGAGGATAGAAAGGCCATCTTATCCATTTTATGTCTTTATCAAAGTGTCTGAATAATGCCTCCAATGCACAGCTTTCCCCAGCTACACAGACATGCTTTTCTTGGTGCACAGAGAGCCATTAAATCTGTCAGAGACTAGAGGAGATTACTTCGCATTTCTTGGAAAAATTGACTTGGAAGGTCATTGAAGGCTAATGCACTTGGGCAATTATAGTGGGGAGTTTACAAATCACTCAGCAGTTATGTTTTAACCAGAAACAAAAAATGAATAAATCGAAGGATTTGGGGTCTGCTAGATCTGTAGTTGTGACTTTCTGAACATGTCTCTGTGTGTGTGTGTGTGTGTGTGTGTGTGTGAGAATGATCAGCGTGTGTGTGTGTCTCCCTTTTTATTCTTCCTGATAAATGGCTGGAGATACAGAATAACCTGAAATAATTGCAGTAAGGTAGCAGTCACTATTCACTTGTCTCCATCTGCTGCATTAATTCTGATCAGATACAAACCCACTGAATAGACAGCAGGTGACAGATAGGAGTGAACGTTTTGTGTGTGTGTTTTGCTTTTCTCTTCCCCATCATATTTCCAGGGTTGTAAGTTTAAAGATAACGCTCAGTCAAATTACGGAAATGTGTTCCTATAGGAGAAAATTTGAGCATGTCTCTAAGGGGTTCAGATTCTCTCATTTCTAAAGCCTAGAGATGTAACTTTTGCTTTCTGAAACATTGTAACTGGGGAACAGGAGGCCTGAAAGTTCAGGAATGTTTCCTTGTTTATTTTTCTCTTGATGCACAAGAAAGAATAAAAGAATAATATATAACCTCTGGTCCTTTTTCTTCTTCATTTGATCTTTGTCTCCACTGTGAAACAAGAATATAATAAAAATGAGAAATTAATTGGACATCCAAAGAACCCTAAATTATGAGGGTGTAGTTCTGAAACGGCAGTGAATATACATACATGTGGACACTGCTCTCTGAGAGGTGGTTTTGTTTTGGAACCTGAGTATAATTATTGCTTATCCAGGGCAGGAGCCAGGTCATTCTTCTCCCAGATGCCTGGAATGGTGCCTAGAGTATCTTAAACAAGGAACCAGGACCTAAGATTATACAGCACTTCCTCCTGTGTGCCGGGAGCGTGTCCTGGGTGGCTCTGCAGTGAAGCGTCCACCTGCAAGGTAGGAGACGTGGCAGGAGCCGCGGGTTCAGTCCCGGGGTGGGGAAGGTCCCCTGGAGAAGGGAATGGCTCGCCACGCCAGCATTCGTGCCTGGAAAGTCCCGCGGATGAGGAGCCTGGCGGGCTGGAGCCCGTGGGGCTGCAGAAGAGTCAGACACGGAACTTCGCGACTAGACAGCAACAGCGGCTCTGTGCCAGGCAGTGCCTGGAGCGCTGACACGCGCGATTCCTTCACTCCTTTGGAACTTGCTTCTTTGCAGCGGACGCCCTGCCCCACGGCTGCCTGCCTGAACTCCCTGGCAGTGCATAGGCAGCCTGCCATCTCAGCCTGGGCTCACGCAGCGCTCCTCTCTCTGGTTTCTCCCCCCGGGAAGCTTGCTGGAGCAGAAGGATGCACAGCCCTGGAGCAGTGGCCGGCGGGAGACCCTGGGTAACTGGTGGAGCCTCCTCCGCCCCCCGTGGGATGAGTCTGAAGCCTGTTTTAAGTGATTTCACAAAGGCCCTCTGGCGATTTCGCCCACAGGCCTGTGGGCAGAACTTGCTCTTCGCCTCCTGTTTATTGCTTTTCCCCTTCCCTGGCGTGCTTTCTTCACATCCTCTCTCACTGACTCCCCAGGAGGAG